TTCAATTATTGCTGTGATTTTGGGTTTCGTGGGTTGCTCATTTTCCTACACTTCTTATTGTTTATCGTATTTCGAATGAGGTATCTATGACAGCATTAGGGTTTATTGAAGACTATTGTTGTTTTGTTGATTTAAAAAAAATTTTAATTAGGTATACTGCTCTCTGATTGTCTTGGGTTTGTTTATGCTAATAGTAGCTATTTGGTTTTGTATGTCTTAAAATAAACTTATTAGTATTTTATGTTTTTATTAGAATTTTAATTCATTGTGTTTTCATGTTTTTTTTCGGTGGTATGGTGATTTATTATTTTTATTTTTGTTTGTTTAGTAGAAATATACTTTGAATATCATATTACCAAAACAATAATGGTACTTTACAAACTTGGGGATGGTTGGGTTTTGACTATTTGTATTAAGTCCTTTTTTACTGCAGTATGGAATAGGCATAAGTTGCAGGGTAAATGCATAAATGACATTCGGCTGACAAGATAAACTAGTTATAAGTATACTAGTTATAAGTGCTGATCCTCATCAAAACGCCAGTAATAATTTAGTGTTTATAAAACAAAGTTTGTTTTTTTTTTATTATTGTATTTTTTAAGTATTGTTAAGGTGCATTATCTGTCTTATTTGGTTTAAAAAATTGTAGAATACACTAACATAATATATATATATATATATATATATATATATATATATATATATATATATATATAGATAGATAGATAGATAAATAGATATATATATATATATATATATATATATATATATATATATATATATATATATATATATATATATATATATATATATATATATATATATATATATATATATATATATATATATATATATATAGATAGATAGATATACATATATAATACATATACAAGATTTCCATAAAGAATTTTGGTCTATAGTTATTGCAGTTTTGAGACTTTTTTATTGATTGGTTTAACAGATTCAATTTTTTAAATAATAAGGAATATAACAGTAGCGAATGAGATAATAAATAGTTTAGAATAAATTGAAGAAATATCATTAGCAAGAAGTTTTAGAATTAAAGTTGGAATGATTTATGGACCAGAAGCTTTGCCATCATTTAAAGAAAGAATAACTGATATTATTTTAACAGTTGATGTTTGATGTCAAAGTTTAATATTTTTAAATACTTATAGAAGTCAGTATGGGATGAGTAAATATTTTTTTGCAATTCTTCAGGGAATAAAATAAAGGAGTTAAAAAGTTTCAAGATTTTACCTGGCTTATGTATGATAATCTTGTTTGAATATATACAATGAGTATAAGATATCATTTAAATGTATGTTCAAAAGAGTTCAAATACTTTCTCACATAGCTCTCTAATTATTGCTATTAGTAGTTAAGTAGTCAAACAAGTGATTTTGCTTCTTCAAATAAATGTTAAAAGTAAATTTCTATAGGTTTTGTAAGTTTTTTCAAGAATTAGTTTGTGATGTAAATTTTTTGTTTTAAGAAACATCTTAAATATTTTGTTTTATTTTTTTATTGAGGTTTAAATTGCTAAAATAATCAATGGGTTGCCATGGTTTAGAGCCCCGAGTTAAGCCATTATTACTTAGTTTTTTTAAAGGTGCTTTGTTAGAAAAGAGTTAAAGCTAGTGAAGAAATTTTCATATGATTTATTTGTATTACCATTTATTTGTATTACCATTAGAAACTTTGATTACTTTATCTCAGTTTATTTCCAGGTTATCATTCCTGAAATTTTTAGAAATTAAATTATAAAATTTATTTTTAATTAAAGTACTTGAATGATTGGTAATACTTGTCAGTAAGGATATAAACAAACATTGTTTGAAGCAATGGCATTCAAATACTCCGTGACTGAATAATCTGAGTATGCTTTTAAAAAATCTATATTAAAATAATCTGTTATAAAAATGGCTTTTTTTTTTAACAGCAAGTTTTTCAAACATAATAGATTGATATGAAACATTAAATTTATTAGTATCCATTTTAAGATAGCGATAAACACCCTATGATATAAGACTTTTTAGGGAAAATGATATCAACAAACACAGACTCTAAGAATTGGGGTTTATACATAAGTAAATCATTTCTAGATTTATAAATTAGTTTTTTAAAAATATAAATTAGAGTGCCTCCAAATGAAGTTTTTATGGGAATATTTTTATAAACATATCCATTAAAATTTATTGGAGTTGATGGGAGTAAATCAGATTTCAGCTTTTATAAGTTATAAGATAAAAATTTCATTTCATTCATTAAAATGTTTAACTATTGAAGCAATATTTAAGTGAAATAGAGAAAAACAATTATTGATGTTTGAAGAGTTAAAATTGTTGATGTCTATGTCTATGTCAATTGATTGGGTTCTCAACTATGTTCATATCAACACCGTTATTATTATTTCCCTGATAAATAAAGTAATTATTAAGTTGATTAAAAGTATCAGATTTTCGGGAGCAAGGAATGAGGGAAAGGTCATTTGGCAGATCATTGAGATGTAATATATTGCCAATTGAAGTTTGAACATGTAGTTCATTATCCGATATATAACATAAAGGAAAATACTGTTGCAGCATGTAATACAGAGCCAAAAAGTAATGGAAAATTTTTTTAATAAACTAAAAATATTATTATTCAAACAAAATTTTTATCAAAAATTTTGCATAGTTTAGATATAACAGTAGAAATTAGTTTAGAAATAAAGATACTGATAACAAAAGACTATATGATAACATAACATATAATATAATATAATATGAAGTTTATGTTAAAAATATTAACAATAATAACAGATAATAATAACAACAAAAATAATAATAACAATCACAAAAATAGCAATAGTAATAACAATAATGACAGTAATAACAAAAGTAGTAGTAGTTATGTATAATGTAAATATAAATACAATAAATATGAATAACACTCATTAATAAAATATGCAATGATAAAGTTAAAAATAATGTAATTAATAATATGATAAAATAGATATGTAACAGAGAAACTAAAATGAGAATAAAAAAAAAGAAAATCAAAAGAAAAGAAAAAATACTAAAATAAAAATAAAAAAGTAAATACAACTTCAAATATAAGAGAAAAATCATTAAAACTTAAAAAGCTTCTTAAACTTCTTTACTTTTTATTCTTGTTTATGAATGGAAGTAATAAGACTTGCTTACGAATGGTAAATAGTTTAAAATTTTTTTTCTAAATTTGAATTTCTTAGATTTTTTCCCCCTTGTTTTCTGTAAGCAGGCATATTCCACCGCATTTAATTCTAACCCTTTATTTAATTGGTTACTTATTTATTGAACAATTTTAGAAACTTTTTTTTAAACAAAAGTTTTCTTTTTGGCTTTAATTTGCTAATGCCTTTATCTTCTTTTATAATAATAATTATTTTTTTTTTATTCAAATAATTTTATTCCTTTTTTATTATTATTATTTTTTTCTTTCTTACTATTAACCATTAGATAGACACATCCGCCATTTTGCGACCACCTTGCACTGATAACATATATCAATAATCTGATTCCTACATCTTAAGTAATCCTACATCTTTTATAATAATAAATTATTTTTTTATTCCTACATCTTTTATAATAATAAATTATTTTTTTTTTATTCAAATAATTTTATTCTTCTTTTATTATTATTAATTTTTTCTTTCTTACTATTAACCATTAGATAGACACATCCGCTATTTTGCGACCACCTTGCACTGATAACATATATCAATAATCTGATTCCTACATCTAAAGTAAACTAAAAGACTGTGCATTTTGGTGATATTATAGCATATGCCAATTATCTATCCCAAAATTTATAATATTTTAGAAGACTGTTCCGCTTGCTAAACTCTCTGTGAAGAGACAATAAAAAACACCTAAAACTGGTCTTCTATAATGTTACCATCCAAGAGCCTCATGAAACTGCAAGTGGAAAATGCTTTCTATGATTTAATTTTATTCAATAACAACTATGTTGTAATTCCTATATTAGTTTCAAATTGAAAAACAAGGAGCATGTATCTGAGATTTGTAATAAAAATGTGCCAAAAACTTTATTATGGTGTAAATACTTAAACTTCTTTCTGCTTAAGATTCTCCTAAAGAGTTGTATATTTTTACATCCCCAGCTTAAAAATAACTTAAAATTGTTAATTGAGTATTTCACCAACTTTACACCATGTTGCTTAATAAACATACTGTTTAAAGAGTTTGAAGTTCACTGTATCACTGCTAAATATTATTTTATCTCTAGACTTGTACACAGTTAAAAAGCAAATATTATACCTTACAATTTATAAAAATATTGAATGATTAATCTTTATTGGAAAGTATGCAAAAAAGTTTTCTTTTTTAGAGTATTTTGTAAAATGCGTATATGCGTAGAAACTGCAGTGTGGCAATTTTGAAGCATAGTGCATTAATTTCTTTTATATATAAATTAAATTTGTACTAAAAAATGAAACAAGAACTTTTGATCTATTTTCTATTTAAAATATGTTTTAAATTCTTTCTTCAACAAAATTTGAATATTGTATTGTAAATATGGTGATTTAAAATTATCTGTGATGATTGAAACACACAAAAGCTCTACTTTTTGGGAGATGGCTGTCAGAAATTTTTTTTTTTAATTTGTGCTTCACTGCTTTAAACATGTAAAAAAATTTTGCATTGAAAGCATCAAATGAAGTTCTATGTTTTTGATAAAACATTTAATTAGGAAACATAATCTATTCTTAATTTTATTCATAATTTTATATGAGTTGTTGTTGTTTTTTTCCACCATATTTAATAAAAAAATTTTAAAATTTGATATAAACCCACATTACCTTACTTATCTTGGCAATGTTTATTAATTGAACATGATTCAAAGCTTCTTAGACATTTTTGATATTAAAAATAATTTTTTGTAATTCATAAAAATAATGATAAATCATAATTTTTTTGACTTCTCTTATATATTTTATACAGAATTTAACAAACCTTCTATTTTATAATGGCTGCATGTTCTTTTGCCTGGATTGTTTGTTTCAGAGGTAAACTTGATAGAAATTGAACTGCTCAAATTTTTCACATCAATACCATTCAATGAAGCAGAAAGTATAACACTTTCAATAGTCCCATCTTCTTCCATGAAAAAAGATTTATTTTTAAAAATATATGAATATATTTGTACATATTTTTCAGTAAATAACTGCGATGGAAGAACAATATAATTGTTAAAATTTTTTAAATCATTTTTTAGATCATCACTTGATATAACAACACCAACTTTATCTTCATGTTCTTTGGAATAGATATATACAGAGTTATTACTTTGTTTCCTTATATACGATGAAAATCCTAAATTTTTTAACGATATATTAACATTATCAGTCTGTTGCCTTCCCAAATGGTCCAATAAATGTAAAAACTCTGTGGATAAATTATGAACCTTGTTAGTATTTTTAAATAAACTTGAATTTGAACTTAACATGTTATCAATAGAGCGTAAAATATATTCCAATACCTAAAAAAAATTGACTAACTTATGAAATTTGTATATCTTTTATTAATATATATCTGCAATGACATTTTGCTGCTGTAAATAACTTTAAAAAATTTGAATACAAACCATTTTTAAAGAAGATTTGAAAGTAATGATGTGTTTCAAAGTGATTGAAATTAATTGAATATCATATTCGGTAGTTAGGTTACCATTTTGAATAATTTGACTTAAATTATATGAAACATTTTGAATATTTGACTCTGTAATATCAACCTAAAGAAAAAGAAAAACAAATATAAAATATTTTTTGATTGTTAAACTAATTAATTAAGATTAACAATCTTTAATTAACTTTAAAAAAAAAAAGTTTCACATAATTACATATTCTTAAATATATTATAAAAGTGACTTTTTTGAAAAAAATACATTTTGCAGTGCATTCATGATATTACATCAGGAGTTTGAAGGCCATGTTTTCTTAATAATTCTTTATAATTGTTATATTTTCTTTATAAAAATATTCTGTAAATAAAATTTTTTTTTCTGGATATTTTTTTAAAAACAGAATTAGGGTCAGCATTCCTGCCAACCTAAAAGTGTTTGATTTTGAAAAAAAATTGCAGACCTCGTTTCTATGTTGTATGTTAAGACCTTTGTATCAAACTTTTTTTGCCAACCTGATGCCAACCTATATAAGATCGAGGTCGGCAAATTATTGCTGACCTCATTTTTCCTAATTCCGAGTTGGCAGTTTTTGCAAACTATAATTTTTATAACAAAATGTCTAATATACTATTTGAGAGAGTTAAACTATTTTTCAATAATTGATTATCAAAATACTTTATAAATTTATAAATTTAAACATTTATAAATTTATCTGAGGCTGGATTTTTGGGACTCAAAAAAGTTATACTTGTATCAGTTGGTGGCAGTGACAGTCTTAGACCTTTTGTCACACTTGTGCTAAATTCTTCCAACCGTTTATGACCATTATATATATTAACTGGATAATTACATGGAAAATAATAACAAATTAAATTCAAAATTAATAAAAACCAATGAAATATTTTATATACATACATCATAAAGTAGGAGCGCTTTGTTTACACAAATTTTTTTTATTTAACTTTCAATTACAAAATTACAACATTGGAAAATACAAAATATTTGCGCAAATTTACTTGCTGACTTTGCACGGTGCACAAACTCTCCTCCTCCTTCCTAAAAAATGTAACTAGTTGGTGGTAACTTGCTATTAAGCTTCCTAAAAATCCCTTTCTAAAAATCCTTACCTACAAATCGACATTATAATCATTCAAATGATTGCCATCATCCTCCCAAACTTCCATTAATTTCAATACATATATTCTACTTCTTATATATTCTTATATAGGCACAGATCTTTAGTGATTCTACAGTTTCAGGCTTGGCCAGGAAGGCGTGCGATTTCAAGTCTTAAAATGACCACGCACAGTTTTTAACAAATGCGCTGAAAAATTGGCTTTTAAATACGTTGAAAATAAATTACTTTGATACATTTATTAAGGCGGTTCATAAAAAACTTTTTTTTGAAAATGTCCACTCCAAGTTGTTAATTTACTTCAATGGAGTACTCATAGCTATATTCCAAATTTCATCAAAATCGGTTCATATCTTGACTCTCCTTCATTGATTTGAAATTTCTGACTTTGCGCAACAGGAATGGCCCAAAAAACTACAATACTTTTCACTTTATTACAAATTGAACAATATCAATGTTTTTGAAAAACAATAAAAGATGCAGAATTAAGTTATGAACAATAAAAGATGCAGAATTAAGTTATAAACAATAAAAGATGCAGAATTAAGATGCAGAAGTTATACAACATAGTCTATAGTAAAATAAAAAAATATTTTTTATTTAAGGAAATTATGACTATTTTGGGATAAAATCCTTCTTTGATTCCTGCTTTGGATATTTGGCGCAATTCACCATTGATATTTTTATTGTTGAATCCTGTCGTTTCGTAACTACTACCTTCTGACTGGCCTTTGTGACCTCCTTCACAGCTCGTTCAACCATTTGGGTGTGGCATTTAAATTTTGGTACAATGAGAGGTTCTGCTACCAGGGCAAACAATTCGCTATTTGACATGTTCCTAATCAAAGGAGGTTCTAGTATGTCAGTTTCACTCCACTTAATCATTAGCTGCCATTTGATGCTTTAAAATTCAGTTCAGGCACCCGGAAAAGACAAACAGAAGAAGCTTGATCTTGGTGATTAGCTCTGGCTTCAATGATTGTTTGAACAGTATCTATGCGGTCTGGCTTATGGGATGAGACTAGTTCAGATAGCAAAATATTTTCTCTTTGGGCATAAAAAGCGTTCCGTTGAATGCAGTGCTGTACAATCTCCTTCTTCTATTAACTCAGATCTTAGCATTAGGAAAAACAAATTTTGAGGATCATTAATCCCAAACTCACAGTAAACCACCTAGGAGCATAAACATTTACAATATATCCAGTCAAAATGTTTAAAACTGTTGATGGTTTTGTTGTACTTGCATACAGCCTACAGATACGGCATGCAGTTGTAAGCCACCTACTGTTGCTACATGATCCAATCTTCAGATGCTCTAAATCCTTATCAAGTTGCCCGGAAATGAGCGCTGATGTAATTCTCCACATGTATTTCTTGTCTGACGATCCTTCCAAACTTCTTTGGGCATTTTAGATAGAGGTTGAGAACGACCAAAGCGTTTGTATTTGATGACAGGATAATTCAAGACATCTGGTAGTAACTTGCTAATAGGTCCAGCAAAAATGTTTGCACCTGCAGTTGGACCATCCAACTCAATGTTGATGTACCTTAATGGCAACTCATTCGCGTGCAGAAGGCAAACATTCCATTGTAAAGCACGCCCAATGCTTACTTCAATCAAATGGTTTATTCCCCCTTCTGCTCCAACATTTGTGTTAGTGACATCACATGCCAAGGCTTTAATTTGATCAATCATGTTTTTTTTTTGTAGAAACTGGACGAGAGATTTAGAAACAGTTATAGCTTTACCATCGGTTGGTGATACATGACCCAGGAACTTTCCATCAGGGGGTGAAACTATTGTAACATGTTCCTCAGTTTTCCTTGATTGATAGTGTTTCTCACCTACTCTCTTTTGCGTTAAAGTCACATCTTTTCGACCATCATAACCAATTCCACAACACACCACTAATGGTACTGCATCGTCTTTTTCTAATATTGCATTAACAGCTCTGTGAACTTTTGATTTGTCAATTTTTTTGGGAATATTGTATATACGAAGAGTGGCAGATCAAATTATGCACCTTTGCTTCTGCTATCTGTCGAAGATCTTTTCCTCAATTCTTCAAAGCAACTTCTACAACACTAGCTGTAATTGAGGCTGAGGTCGATGTACTAGTTTATTCTGGAAGTCCAAATCTGTATTAATATAATACTTGTAGTACTGTTATCTTCCTCTGAGTTTTCGTCCTCATCCCTGCCAATTTTCACACTCACTGAAGCAACAGTTTCAAACTGCAATTCTCGTTGTTGTCGTTCTTTTACATCCCTGGTGTCGTTGGCTTTCTTACTTGATTCTTTCTGCTGTTGTTTTCTTGTAGCCTCTTTATCCACTTTACTACTTATTATCATCTTTCGAATAGATTGCTTATTTTCGAGAAAATCTCTCTCCATCCTAGGAACATTCTCATTATCAACAACTTCAAACAAACCAGAAATTCCTTTGCGAAACTCAACTATCTTATTTTTAAAAAAGTTTGAGAGATCATTGGGATTTGGACACTTTGGGTTCTTATACCTTCTGGCAGTTGGTATTTGAATTATACTTTGACGCTTTTCATAAACTTTTAGAACACGGTCCTTAATCGTGTTTTTTCTAACTGTTGGTAAGGATGCACATTTATAAATGCTTTCAACTTGTGACACAATAATTTCTGCAATAGTAGAATTATCAGGTTCTTTTTTTTCCAGAGGTTTCTACCATCCATTTTTGTTTCTCATACAAGAAGCTTCTAGCAATATCTAATTCTGTTAGAAGTACGCTTACAGGAAGTTCTGCCAGCTGACCAAAGGCAAGCTAATCTGTTGTCATTCAGGTAGATAAGTTTGTTAAACCTGTCATTATAATCTGTGAAAAAGAAACAATATTGATATTAAAATGCATACTATGAGAAAAACGTGGATCAAATAAAGATGTTAGTCATAAAATTATATCCTGCATCTTTTTTTTTTTTTTTAAACATTGAAATTCCTGCTTAATATTGTTCAATTTGTAATAAAGTGAAAATAATAGTAGTTTTTTGGGCCATTTTCCTGTTGCGCAAAGTCAGAAATTTCAAATCAATGGGTTGAGATATGAACCAATTTTGATGAAATTTGGAATATAGCTATGTTTACTCCATTGAAGTAAACTAACAACTTGGAGCGGACATTTTCAAAAAAAAGTTTTTTACGAGCCGCCTTAACGTTTATCTTTACTAACGTTTTATATTATTAAAACGCTTTCAAATTAAAGTATCATTGAAAGTTGTATATCTTTTTATTTATATTATTTAATTATATAAAAAATTTTTATAAGAAAAAATAAAAAAGGGAAAAAAAAAAAAAAAAAATGTTATAAGCGATGATTTTAAACAGCGAAAGTCTTTTTAATAAACTTTATATAAGAATCATTAAAGTTATTGTTGATAAGAAAAAAAAAGACAAACTTTTTTGAAAACCATTTGAATTGAATAACTTTGATTTTTACTTACGTTTTTATAACGCATTTAAATAAAGTAGCGCATTTAAATGAAGTAACTTCTAATGATTTTTTTATAAAAACATTAATGAATAATATATATTTTTTTAAATTTATATAAGTATTTATTTTTTATTATGTTTTTAAATAAAAAATTATATCAATTTTTTAAATAAACAATTTAATTATTTTTTCTTTTGTGCGAAGAACTGATAATAATATATTTAAACTTTTAAATGTGCATGTTTTTTAAACAATCGTCAGTTATATGTTGTTACTTTATTTATAAAGAGTTTCGCATAATATTATATTATAAAAATATTAGTAAAGATAAACAATCTAAAGTTATTTATTCCAAACGTAATTTAGATAATCTTATTGTTATCGCTTTTTATTATTGCTTAACTAAACGTTTATCCATTTGTGCACGTTTACACTGAGTTTTTTACCATACTTGGCCTTTCAGTTTTATTATAAATAGGATTTAGCATGTTATACTTTTGAACTCACGCAATAAAGTACTCTCAAACCTCTTTTGCTTTATCAGCTTAATTAGTAATAAGATCGACAGTTTTTATTTGATAAATTTACTGTAGTAAAGGATAAACCTTATACTATTTTTGAATTAGTAAAGTAACTTTTAAAGTCAGGTAATTTTGTTGGAAGATTTCAGGCACCCCCCTTTAACAAATCCATAAGTATTGTTGAAAATCATATCCTTACCAAAACCTAACCCTGAAACTTATGGTTAGGCTCGGGGATGGTTTAGGTTTAGCTTAGAGTTTGGTTTGGGTATGGCTTTCAATAAAATAAATTTTATTTTGGGGTTCAGGGTTAAAGTATAATTTTCAATAAATGTTATGCGTAAAACATGACTTGTTTGTTTGATGAGACTTTCTAAAGAAAGGTGCCTGAAATACGTCTGCCATTTTGTTATATATTATGCATTATAATAATAACACATTTTTTATGTACTAATTTAGGAAAGAATTTACTTTTATGGATTGAGCAATGTCTTCCACCCGCAACTATAATCACAAAAATTAGCAGGCCCTATTATTATTCAAAAAAAAAAGTTTTTCAAAATTATGTGATGTAGGTACTCAAAATTAAGCGAAATTTTATAAAAATTTCAAAAATAGTAATTTTTTCATATAAAAATTTTTATTTTATATTTTATTTTATAATAACTATAGTTTTTTAACTAAAAGTGTAAAAGGTGCATTTTTACATGTTTTTCAATAACAATATTTTTTAGCATTATGATTTTTATAAAATGATTATAATTTTCGAATTTTTTATAAAATTTCGCTTCTTTTGAGTACCAGGTTGACCTACTTTTAAAAAACTAATTACTGGTAATTTTCCTAATAAAGTTGTGCCCTTTAAATCTATCACAATCATTCTCATATTTGATAGTATCAATATTAATAACTATTAGCAATGTTTAGAGCCTGTAACAATAAAAAAATTTTAAGACCCACCCTAACATATATAGCTTTAAAAATATACATTTTACATACAAAAACTAAAAAAAAATACATACCGATGCAAAAAACGCACTAAAACATATAACAATATGAACTATACGCTACAATACTCAATATACAATACACAAGAATACAAAAACAGAAAACAAAAACAACAACAAAAAAACAAACGTCCCTCAAAATAAATAAAACATTTTTTTTTTTTTTTAATCTCTTGAAAAACAGAGTAACTTCTATATTTTAATTTAATTTTTTTTAATGAACTCAGTGTTTTTAAAACCAGCAAATACAAGTGTAAGCTTTGTTGCTTCTATGCAATTGTGCATAGAGACTTGGGAAAATTATTTTGGACAAATTGCTAAAACCACTTTGGGCATCAATTTTTTAAATTAAATTTAATTGTCTTCAATATATTTTATTTAAATTAAACTGTTTTCTTTTAAATTAATTATAATTTAACAAGCAATGGATTTATGGTTTGCGAAAAAGTTTGCATTTTACTAACTACCAGAAATTTAAATTAAATTTTAATTAATTAATAAAAGAAATTAAATTAAATCTTAACTTGACTTAAAAAAAACTTAAAAAAAAACTTATTGCTAAAGAAGCAAATAAATCTTCATAAAAAAAAAATTACGAAAACAAAATTAAAATAACTAAAATATCAAAAATTAAATTAAAACTTAACTGAAATTAATAATAAACTACAAGGTGTCAGGACCCATATAATATGGGTTGTGGTAAAACTAATCCACACCTGACTATTTCTAAACTTGTTCCTAATTTAGTCTTTATGCTTAAATTTATTTTAGTAAACAGGAAAAAAAAAATCAAGTGTAAAGACTAAATTAGGAACAAGTTTAGAAATAGTCAAGTGTGGATTAGACTTACCACGACTCATATTGTATAGACACCTAGTAGTTTATTATTTATTTCAGTTAAGTTTTAATTTAATTTTTGCTATTTTAGTTATTTTAATTTTGTTTTTGTTATTTTTTTTTTTATGATGATTTATTTGCTTCTTTAACAATAATTTTTTTTTTTTAGGTTTTTTTAAGTCAAGTCAAGATTTAATTTAATTTTATTAGCGCATTTTTAAAATGTATACAAATTTTTAAACGTTTTGACAGCCATGGTCAAAATAACTAAAATCTAACAGTATTTGCATGGTCATATTATGACATGAAATTGCACGCCTTCCTGGCCAAGCCTGCAGTTTTTACATATTTTCTTTAATAAACTGCTCCGGAAGAAATAACCAGTTTGTTTAATTTATTTTTAAACTTAAGAATTTGTGAAATGAACAATAATCAAAAATGTAATCAAAACTATTTAATAAAAGTAATAAAATTTATCAAAATTTTTTTGTAAATTTATTTAGCAAAATATTGTATTACATTTAAATTTTAATATTATACTGTTTTACATTTATTAGTATTCAAGCATTACTTTTATATAGTTGACTGAGCAATTTTTATTGACAACATGCTAAGCAACTCAAGACTTGCACTTTTTGAAGGTGCAAATCCCACTTATTTTTTTAAATAGTACTCTACTTAAATGAGAGACAAATGCTTATTCATGGTAAAATAGCACAAGTAAGAACTTTTGTCTCAATTAAAAAAAAAAGATAAGTTTTGCAAGATTTGGAGTAGTGATAGAACATGTTGCTGATAGTCAAAATGTTCAAAACTACCCTTTTAAATGTTTAAAATCTTGTATCAATCCTTTGGAAGTACAATACTCAACCTTTTTTTTTTTGATTCAGCAACTTTGTTTAACAAAGTTCATGTTTTAGAGTTTAGGGATGAGAAAGAGAGAGAGTTGCAAATAAAATTATAAATATATATATATAAAAAAAAAACAATAATATTGTCACTATCCTCATTAACTGTATGGGTCCCTTTTGGGACATTGGTTGAGAGATTAAATAAAAAACAATTTAACATTTAAAAAATGTAACAGATTCTATGAAAAATATTTTTTGTCTTTTTTTTTGTAAAATTGTATTTTATATTAAATTTTTATCTTTTTTCTCTTTTGTCTTCGCTGTTTTTATCTTTATTTCTACTTTTTATATTTGATAAAATAAATAAAAATTTAATTTCCTTCAAAAAAAAAAAAGTTTTTTTTTTTGAAGGAAATTAAATTTTTATTTGTTTTATCAAATATAAAAATTTTTAGTTTAATTTTCATCACTTTTAACTGAATAAAAAAATTTTTAGTTTAATTTTCATCACTTTTAATTGAATAAAAAAATATAATACAAAAAAATTTTAATTTTTTTTGTATACTATATAATAAGTCACATAGCGTGATTCTAGAAAAAAGAGAAATAACAAGAATAATGAAAATATTTTCATTTATTAACAAATTATATAGCAAATTAACTATTATATTATTGAATAGTAATTAAATAGTAATAGTATTAGTGATATTATTGAACAGTAATTATGATATTATAAGCTATAATCTACATGTTATAAACGCAGATAAAATTAAAATAAATTAACTAACTTTTGATATATCATAAAGTAACAACGTTGTTCCAGATTTTGGGGGACAGTTTGAATGTGAAAAATGTTCCCACTCTGGCATTTTATTGGAATTATTTATTACACAATGTTGTTCTAACATAATACTGTTGTTGTATACACAAGGTAATGTATATACATTATTAACTAAAGTGATAGGAAGTGTATACAATCCTGTTAAACTTTCTTCTCCAACTGTTTCTTTGGTACAGCAATCTAAATATATCCCAACGATGCAAAATGTTTTTAAATAATGATTTTGAAATTTTAATTTGACATTTTATAATACTTATACTCAATAAAAAAAAATTTAAATATACAAACATAAAACACACTCATTCAAACATTAACATAAAAAATCATGATTAGTCTTACCACATGGTGTTAAAGAAACTTCTGGTAAATTAAGATTTAACAGTTGTTTACAGTTTTCAATTTTATTTGGATTCTCTACTTGATAAGTAAATTTTACTAATACACTTGTGTTTCTAATAGAAATAATGCATATTTAAGACTGTATTTAAGTACAATACCCTGAAAAAGTAAATAAATTAAACCAACCCATAAAACTGAACATCCTTGTTTGTAAACATAGCAGAAACAAAGATCTTTTTCAACTAAAAAATAATAAAGATTGAATATACTTATACTTTATTTAAGCACCTGTTTTTATATACATAAACAAGTAAACAAAAATAACATGAAATAAACATAAAAAGAGAATAATTATGACACTAAGATATATAGAAGAATTTATATTTTTTAACATTTTCAAAATCATCTTTTTGATGTCTATGCAATATTTCAGACATCTTTTTGATGTCTATGCAATATTTAGACCTTTGAGTCTCACCTGATCAAGCAACTTTGATGTCATTTTACTGTATTCTAAACTTGATTTGTTAACATATTGATCAGACCACTGACTACCATAAAAAGTAAATTTTGCTAATGCACAACTGAAATCTGAAGGATAAATAACAAGTATAATATTACATGAGAAACTAACAAGTATAATAATACATAAAAAATACATAAATTATATACATATAAAATGCATATAAAATCGTAAATCTGTAGTTCTGAGAGATTTACAACATTTAATATCTAAAATGTTGAACAAATGTTATAAAAACAGCGCTACTGGATCATTTTTCAATGAGGTAAAAGTTTGTCAGTTTCAAAAACTATTTTAATCAAAACATGTTATTTTAATGATTTATCTCAATTAGAAAACATTAATATTAAAAAATATATAAATGAGCTGCAACTCCAAAACATTGTTAACAAGACTGAGAATGTAGGTTATTCATTATCCAATAGTGTAAATATTGAGGATTTAAAAAAATATTAAAGATAATTTATATAAATGAAACTCTCAAAGAAAATGTTTTAGAGACATCTTTATTAATTAACAAATAAAAAATGCCAAAAAAGAATTTTAAAAACTCAAGAGGAAAAATTTTCTGGTTCTGTTGTAATTTGTTTTTATTTATTAAAAAACTTAACTTTAAGAAGATTATAAACATAGGTAATCTGAAGATCTTTGAAGGAACATTTTGAATCAACTTATAAATGGACCAATCTAGAATTTAACATTAAATACAAAAAATATGATATGGTATATAAAAATGGTAAATCTGTAGTTCTAAGAGAAACTCTTTGATTAATTTCCTGTCTAGGTAAGAAAAATAATTATGCTAGGTAAGAAAAATAATTAACGCAGCCAATCCTAGAAAAATCAACTTTATAGTAAAACATTCTTTCTACCTAAAAAGTGCAATTTATATTACTTAATGTTTACTACACACATTTGTTATTGTTGAACAACAAAGCAGTTTAGTTGGATGTATCTTGAAGTAGTAATGGCATATGATCAGTTGCCCATTATTACTATGTTAGTGTTATATATAGTCAATGTTGTTGAAAAAGATTAGCTTAATCTTTTTATTTATCTCTAGCTCCTGCTTCTGTTACAAGTAAGTTGTTGTACTCACTTATACTTATTAAATTGATTAATTAATTTTATTGCATTTTTAATTTTCTATTATTTATCTCTAGCTCCTCCTTCTTCTGTTACAAGTAGGTTCTATTTAACTTTTGGTTTAAGATTTTTAGGCCCAAGATTAGCCAAATAGATGAAGTTGATTGTGCATACTCAATTTCTTTAGCAATTTATTGGCCCGCTCTTGATAACATCAACAAAACATGAAATTAAAACAAAGCATTAACTACAAACGAGAACAACAGTTTAAATAAGAGATTGTCCATCAGTTACACAAAATATATTCTAAAAACAGATGTAGGAGATATTAAGCTCTTTTAATCGTCAATTTTCATTAAACTTAATAAGCTATTTTGATTTTTTATATAAATTAAGGGAAAACTCTTGATCTTTTTTGTTTTGATTATTGTGAACGTTTGCACTATGTAATTTAGAACAATCTTTAAGTTTTCACGCACAACTAGGGTTGCCAGACATGTTTATTGTGAAAGTTTGCATCATGTAATTTATGGACAATCTTTAAATTTTCAAGCACAACTAGGGTTGCTAGACATCCAGCAAAGGAGGATATGTCCTTCTTTTTTATTCTTTGTCCTCTGTATAGCAGGTAAAGCTGAAAACATTTGAAATGTCCAAAAATTCTTAAAACTGCATAATTTGTATAAGTATTTTTTTAAAGTTCTATTATTAAATTAGATTTATTTATAACTCATTTTGCACATTTTTCCATTTGTATTGCATTGATTATTTTGTCTTACAATATCTTAAATCATTCAATTGTCAAACAGTATGAAAAGCAAAAATCAAAACAATAAATGTTGGAACATAGTATTATTTCATTTAAAACTGTTCTCAAAGCTGTATAATTTTTCAAGTTCTTTTGTTGTTCTATAGAACAGCAAAAAAATTAAAAAACTTAAAAAAGTTTAGATCTATTCTTTTTTAATTAAAACCTTTAGCACATATTTTAGCACATTAAGTATGTCCTGTCTACGCACAACTGAATGCTAATAGAATTCTGCTCAAAATTTTCTATAGGAATGAGTTTATATTTAAAAATCAATCAATTGAAACAATTAAAATACAATTATTTTGAAACAATAAAAAATACAATTCATTTTATAATGATTTAACTTGAAAAATATATAATCCTAATAAATCTGTTGCTTTATTGTTTCTGACAGCAAATTTTTATATATTTTTTAAACTATTTTGGGCACATTTTTTAACTCATTTGTCATTTAGTTTACATTTACATGCAACATTTAATTACCTCAAATGTCAAAACAATGTTATGAAAAAATGTTATAAAAGCTTAACTTCAAGTGGATTTTCTGATTATGAACATACAGGAATATGGTTATCTAAAGATGAATCAGCGAAGGAACATCTTATAAACATATAAATCAGCATATAAATGGACACTTCAGGGTTAACAGCATATAAATGGTTTTAACAGCATAAAAAACAGCATATAAATGGACACTTCTAGAATTTAACATTAAACACAGAACCTCAATGAAGATTTTTTCAATAAGGAAAAATGCAGATTGCAAATAATTTTGAAATTTATTGTAGAAGCAGTATTGTTTTTAAGTGAACAAAACTTAGCTTTTAAAGGCAATAACAAAAAACTCTTTGCACCAAATAATGATAACTTTTTAGGAGTAATTGAATTACGTTCCTATTTTGTTTTACAACTGAAAGTGTATTTAAAATCAATTACTCAAACAGAAAATAAGTTATACCATATTTTTTCGTAAAAATTCAAAACAAAATTATCTTACAACTAGTTTTAAGAGTTTTACATATAACAGTAAGAAATATTTAATCATCAAAATAGTTTTCCATAATGATAGATTCTACACTGGATTTTTTGTAAAATTACCAATTGTCCATCATTATTCGGTATGTCAAAATAGTGGATCAAAAGTTAAGTGTTTAAAAAATTTTCTAAAGCTTCGTAAAAATAATGCAACAACCAAAGAAAATTTAGCAAGTGTGGTTATTGATCCAGATCCAAGCTTATCAATAACCACACTTATGTGGTTATCCAAGCAATATGAAATATATATATATATATATATATATATATATATATATATATATATATATATATATATATATATATATATATATATATATATATATATATATATATATATATATATATATATATATATATATATAATAATAATATATAATAAAAATATATAGAAGTAAAAATTCAAATTTTAGAAGCCAATAACAAAGCATAATATACTCTGTGTGGTGAACACAACATTAATTTGTTGATAAATGATAGTGTCAAAAAAAACTTTTAAAAGTCAGAACTACTTCCCTACGTTAAATAATTTATACGATCTTTGCTGCAATAACAAAGCAATGGGCTATTCAAGAAAAATAAAAAACTAATCTGAAGACACCAAGCAATAATCAATGCAAGCGAATCAATGGGAATATTACTTTAAAACTATGAAAGACATGAAATGATTAAAGAAATTTGCCTTGTGCTAGATGAATTCGAAAATAGCGACTTAGATTGTAAAAATAATGCATCTTTAATAAAACAATTAAACTCTCAAAAATTTGAGAAAGTTATCAAAGCTTCACATTTTTAGTTATTTGCTTTATCAAAGGATATCGTAAATAATATTGCAATACAACATACAAAGGCTACACTATTATCACTTGATGATTTTTAAAACAATTTTGAACAGATTATAAAAGAAGCACAAAAAGGTGATATAGAGAATTTAGAACTCATTTAAAAAAGGAATTTGGAAGAATTATAATTAAATGTATGTTTCATATATCGAATAATTTTAACAATACTTATTACGATTTCTTATTGTGAACAATCATTTTAAAAACTACAATTAATTAAAAATTATCTTTGGTCTATAATGTCGCAGGAAAAACCTTTAGGATTAGCAATACTGTCAATAGAATATGCAACCGCCAGAAAAATTTATTACACTGCTATAATTGATGAAACTGCAACCAAAAGGGCTATGAAAATTGATTTATAACTTCTTTGTATACTTTTTTTAAAAGAAAAACTCTATATAAAATGAATTCAATAAAGTTAAAAAAAAAATTTTTTAAAGAAAGTTAAAAAGTTAAAGTACAGGGCCCCTAAAAGTTACAGCACGGCTTTGGATATAACCTTCAACTTTTTAGCAATAACTGTTCACTCGTGCTGACAAATAATTATACTATTATTTGAACTTTACAGTATTTTACATTCTTTATACTAAATAGAAGAACAAAATTACTTGTGGTTCAAAATTTTTTTACAATTTGATTTTATTTGTTGTACAAACATGAAATAAATCATATTTGTTGTATTGTTGTATTAACAAATATTGTGGTCAATCCAACTACAATATCAATGCTTAATAAAAATCCAGTGCATAAATAAAAATGTGGTCAGCTTAACTGCAAATTAAATATAGTTACTTTAACTAATGCAAAAAGCAATTGACGCAGGTAGACCAACTGAAAAACCAGCGCATTTGTACTGATGCAAGATGCAGTTGATCTGGCATTCAGTAAGCATAGTTAGCTGAAATTTCAACTTATTTAACTTTTGAATTTAAAAATAAAATTTAAATGATAAAGAGCAGGTATTTTTATCAAGAATTTTAAACGTTTTATGTACATTTTTATTTTTATATAAGTAATTAACTTTTTTGAGATGATTTTTACTTTATAACCTAAGTACTTTTGTTTTCAAAAGTAAGTTATGTAAAAGAAGATTACACCAAAAAGTCACATGAAAGAGTGTGTCACATGTTTACTTTTACATGTAAAAGTTAATTACTTTTGAAAATTATATTATATAATATAAAAGTTCCTCAAACTGTTATTTACATTTACCTATAAAAGTAACAAATTAAAAAAAAAATTATATTAAAAAGTAACTTACATATAAAAGTAAATTTCATAAAAGTAATAT